TCGAGTTTATCACTCCAAAATTTGAGTTTATCACATCAATTATTAATGGTTGATGTGATAAACTCAAATTTTGAAGTGATAAACTCGAATTTTGATGTGATAAACTCGAATATTTAAAACCGGTTCCAACCTCTAATCCCAAGGTAAGACCAAAGATCGATTGATTACATGATCTGAAAAATCTCATCTACATCCTGGATCTGTCATATAATCTGTTCATCCTCATTTACACTTTCAGCAATTTTTGTATCTTCAAGGCTTGCAATATTGATTTATTTTATTCTGATGCATTTTTAGCATAGTAGATGTGAGATATTTTTGAAGACATTTGTCTACTCTAGTAAATAAAACATTTTGTGTTGCTTTGATTTCATATAGTGAGAATTGACAATTTCCAAAACCTATACTCATTTTCTTTATCTTGCAAATCAAGAAGTCGATGAATTTCAGTTATAAGCTCACATAATGATATATTTGAATTGTGAAGCAAACATTTCAAACACCCATTTACAGATTCTAGACGAGATGTTGCTACCATGCCACCAGTAAATTTGAATCCTGTAAAACAGTGTGCCCAATATGTTTTAGTTTTATAAATGAATTTTAAATAATTTTTGGCATTAGGATAGTCATTTAAAAGTTTAATAAACTTTTGTTAAAACACATCTTCAACAAAACTATTCCAGCAAGAATAAAACTCATTAAGAAACTTTTGATACTCATTGTCTAGTATTTTTCTTAGATTCTTATGTAGATTTTGTGTTATATAAAATACACAATAAATAGAATATGTTGAAGGAAATATTTGTTGTATAGCTGAATCTACAGCAGGATCAGAATCTGTAAGTATAATAACTGAATGTACACCTGTTGTCTTTATTATCTGATCAAACATCCACATATGAGATTCAAGGCTCTCATTTTTCAAAAGACCTTGTGCAAGTAGTATATTATGCCGATTATTATTAAAACCAACAAATAGAGACAGGGCCATTTCATATCGATTTGTTTTGTGTGTAACATCATTCAAAATACAATCAGAATATTGTACCCAATTTTCTATTTGTTCTGGTGTCATCCACATTGAATGTGTCAGAACTAGTACTACAGACATTTGCCAGGTCAAGAGTAGTTACCTCCATGTCAAACGTTATGGCTATACGTCACATTTTGACGTGACGTATAATGTGACATATAACATATAGCCATATGTAGTACCGTATGATGTATAGCTATATGTAGTGCCATATGATGTACAGCTGTACGTATGCCATAGTGCTATATATAGGATGTATGCCGTAGTGCCATATATAGGACGTATGCTGTATATTAAACATATGCTATAATGCTGTATATAAGACATATGCCATAATGCCATATATAAGATGTATGCCATAATGCTGTATATAAGATGTATGCCGTAATGCCTATATAAGACATATGCCATAATGCCGTATATAATATGTATGCCATAATGCCGTATATAAGACGTATGCCATAATGCCATATATAAGACGTAATGCTGTATATAAAACATAATGCTGTATATAAGACATATGCTGTATATAAGTTGTATGCTGTATGTCATATATATTGCTGTATACTGTAATACCGTATATTGATATACCTGGTTTTGTTTTCACTTAATTTGCCACTATAATGTTAATGCAGACTTATTAACAAAAAAAAAAAAAACAGCACACTCAAACACAACTACTTTAATATTCTTTGTGATAAATATAACTTTATTGCAAGAAAATTACTAATTTATATCAAAAAATTGTTATGATAAATCAAATTATGTACGTATTAGTAACTTTTAATCTAATAAAGCATAATTCTGTAAATTTTATTGAATTTTATATATACCAAAAATCATATATATACTACGTAAATTACTCTGCAATTTTTTTCACTGTATAAACAAGATCTTAATTGAAAGCAACCAAGATTAAAAAACCTATTTGTATTATTGAATCTCTCATTACTAAAATTCTATTTAGATAACAACTAACTTATAATCTTGCAAAAGTACTACTCATTTTGATAGCTATTTGATAGTGTCTATGTTCATCTTTTTAACTTCTATTCTCCATTATCATCATTTATATTAGAAAACTTAAGTAGTTAATAAAATGCTATGTAGTTATTACTTTCAATTTTAATTTCCTAATTCCTTTATCATAACGTAATATGTTTCAAAAAATAATCTATCTATGCAGATTTTTGATATGAATACTTATTCTATGATAATACATGTTTCAATAATATTTTTAATCCTAGCACTAGCTTATAATGTTCTACTAATATCAGATTTTAGATAGTTAATATCATACCATTATTAGACAATCTTTTGATTTTCTTGTTCTAAAAAACTATTAGTACTTCTCAAGGATTGTAATCCAAATCAGCAGGAGAAATAATTCGAGCCGTCTCTACTGGTCTAGAATTATTTTCAGCTGTCAAATCAATAATATCTTCAATTAGCAGGGTTGTAGAATTATTAGATGTTATATCATCTAATAAATTCGTCTCATTTCTACTGACTCACCCCCATATAGCT